ATATTAAGTCTTAAAATTTTCAATTAACTCCTTGTTGACATCTTAAATACAAATATAATGTTCGTTTTATTGAAAAATATGAACTTCACAAATTTAGCATAGAACCATCGACTTCATTTAAAAATGAACTATAATAGTAAAGTTATCATTGATTTCTTTTAAAATTAAAGACACTAGAAATTATATTTATATATTAACCAAATCCATAATTTGTTCAGTGACGTAATATGTTTGTTTGACATGGTATATTATATTTTAATAAATTTTATATTTTAATAAATTTATAACAAAACATATATTATTATTGCTTTTTTTAATTTTATTTTTAGTGTAAAGTATATAAATGGTTATCTAATTATAAGGTATTATTTTATTTGATTCTTTTGAATATTAAAAGTTATAAAATAGTCTTCTAACTATAAAACGTTATTTTTTAAGTCTCATGATTATTAAAAGTTACAAAATTGTCATTTAATAATTTATTGTGTTTCAAACTTATATTTTTTCATTAAAAAATTATGACAATTTCATTAGGATATTAACTTGCCGAATGATATAATCTAATCTTTGAATATCAAACAACTATCATATCCCAATCAATATTTAATGTCCAACTCAAATCGCAATTAAATTTTAACGAAAAATAACGAGTTTAGAACATAATAAATAATTGAATAATCATTTTATAACTTTTAATAATCAAATATTAAAAAAATAACATCTTATAATTAAATTATCATTTTATAACTTTTAATAGTTAGAATTTTGTATTTTAATTCATTCTCAATTTGAAAAAAAGCAAAAGATCTGATCCCATCTCTCCTTTGCTTCGCCAAAAACTCTTTAAAACCCCTTTTCCCTCTTTCAAAGGATTTCCTTATCCTCTCTTTCTGATCTCTCTAAAAGGGTAATCCTTTAATCTTTCTTTCATGCTCTCTCTCTTATGTTCTTCTCTCTGTTTTTTTTTTCTTTTGATCTGTTTTGACTTTTGTTTCTTTCCCTTTTTCATTGTTTGGAAATTCCGGGTACTTCTTCATTGTGTCGTTATTGATTTGCATGTCTGCTTAGATAAAGGCTTGATCTTGGTGTTTGTGTGTTTTTAAATCTGTTGTAATTTTTATTTCTTTTAATTTGTGATCTGGATTTTATCTTATTGTAGTTGATCAATCATGTATTTCTGCTGTGCAGATTATCTGATTTGATCTTGTTTCTAAAAATCTCACGTAGAGTAAAGATAAAAATTAGAATCGTCTGTTGATTATCGCATATATTTCAACTCTTTTAATTCAGTTTACTAAAATCTAGCGGAACAAATAGCTTTTTCTTATTTTATTTTAGATTCATAAATGATGTGTGTGTGTGTGTATATATATTGTTTACTATCTGATATCTAACTCTCTGTCTTTTTTAATTTTCTAGTGATTAATGGGTGTTGAAGTTGTGGGATCGGAAATGGCAAAAGTACCTGTGGACAAAGCAACTGAAGTTGACAAATCACTTCTTCATGATAAGGAAAATGGGAAACTGGACAATGATCCGGTTCATACTGAGCCCATTAAAGTTGGTTCCGATGTTGAGGAACCAAATAAGGGAGAAGAGAAAAATGTATCCGACTTTCCGATTGATGCTGTCACTGAGTGGCCTGCTCCTAAGCAGATCCACTCCTTTTATTTTATCAGGTATAGCCCTTTTGATGATCCAAAGAAAAAGGCCAAAATCGATCAGGTTGATAAAGAGATGCAAAAGTTGAATAAAGTCAGATTTCAGCTTACTGATGAATTAAAATCACACAAGGTGAGTGAAGTGCAATTAATGTCGATTATGATATCTAGTTCGTTTAACTGTTGTTGTGCTCTTAGGATATTTATATGCTTCCTGTTTTGCTTTTCATTGGTTCCGAGAGGTTAGGTGGAATAAAAGTTGTGATGTGTTTATTGTTTAATGATGAATATAGAAACATTAAATCCTCGAATGCATATATCCAGTTGTTGGAAACAAAAGTCCTTGAGCAGGAAATGAATAATTGGATATACGGTATTGTTTTCTTACACGTGGTTCGGAATAGTATTTGGTATAATGGTTCATCATTGGTGTATTTGCCTCAAGTTGAGCCAAATACACGTTGTGTATTTGATATAACGGTTGTTCGAAACATTAAATCCTCGAATGCATAAATCCGGTTGTTGGAAACAAAAGTCCTTGAGCAGGAAATGAATAATTGGATATATAGTACTGTTTTCTTACACGTGGTTCAGAATAGTATTTGGTATAATGGTTTCTCATTGGTGTATTTGCCTCAAGTTTAGCGAAATTGCAAAATAGTTTCTAAAATCATTGAGTTGCTGCCTTTTAAATTATTATCTTTATGTTAATGCAGTCGGATCGAGCAGAGTTGCTTTCTCAAGTGAAAGCCCTGAATGTTGATTTCGAGCAGTTTAAGACGATGCTAGGTGAGAAAAAGAAGGAAATGGAACCACTGCAGCAGGCTTTAGGCAAACTTCACAATAATAACATTGGTGGTGGTCGTGGTGGTATATGTTCGTCTGAGGAAGAGCTCAATGATATTGTATGCTACTATTGTAAACTTGACAGCATTGGGATTTAAACGTTGTTTTCGCTCTGCAGTTAATCCTTTGCCTTTTCTCTTTCGTCACTTATTGGGAATTGATAAATTGCAGATCTATAGCTTGCAATATCGCATCCAGCATGAAAGCATCCCATTGTCCGAGGAGAAGCAACTCCTTAGAGAAATCAAACAACTTGAGGGAACCCGGGACAAAGTTATTGCCAATGCTGCAGTGAGATCAAAGATTCAGGAATCACTGGGCCAGAAAGAAGGCATTCAAGATCAAGTTAAAGTAAGAAAAATTCCGTTTTGAACCATTTATCCATCAGAATTTGCTTTCCCCCTCATGTATTACTATCGTAAAATTAGCCTAATTAACTTGCTATATTTGTTTCATTGTAGCTCATGGGTAATGATTTGGATGGCGTAAGGAAGGAACAAAATGCTATCTGGTCCAAGAAAAAGCAAATTAAAGAAAAAGTGAGTGCAATAGAGAGTAAAGTTGATTCCTTACAGCAAGAGCTGAACGCCGTGATCCAGAAGAGGAACAAAGCTTATGAAACCATGCAACAACTGTGGAAACAACGTGATGAGGCGGTATGTTGTTCTTTGCTTTAAATTGAATCTTCTTTTGCCTGGTGAGAATGAGATGCTCTATTTTGCTTCTTTCGATTTCTCTTCTTTCATGTATGTGCATGTATAGATGCAAGCCTTTCAGAACGATTAGGTCTCTCTTGTGGGATGTTTTTCTTCTTGGCTCTGCCTATGAATGCTAAAAGTTAAAATTTAACGTTTCTTTTTTGGTCAATTCCAAAGCTGATTTGGTTGGTCATTGATTGTGATAATAATATGTATTTCAGAATGTTCACTTTTACCAGAGCCGTTCACTTTTAAACAAAGCGAAAGAGCTAGCTGCAAAGAAAGATATAAAGGGTCTTGAGGAGCTTTCAACTGTTGAGGTTAGTTGAGACTACCGATTAATGCTACGTCCCAAATGTCTCATTTGCATTAATTTTTGGCTGTTCTCTTATCTTTTGTTGCATGTAGGTCGAGAAGTTTATGGCTCTTTGGAGCAGCAAGAAAGCTGTCCGGGATGACTACGAAAAATGAATTCTGCCGTCCTTGGACCAGAGGCAATTAAGTCGAGACGGTCGGATAAGGAATCCTGATGAGAAACCACTGGTTGTACAAGAGGCACCAGTTGCTTCTGCACCTGAAACGATTCCAAAACCTTCTGTCCGACAACCAAAGGAAGAAGCCAAACCTTCTGAACCAGATACTAAATTACCAAAAAAAAGCAAGAAAATTTCTGAGACCAAAGTAATAGAATCAAAATCGCCTCCCGAGAATGGTGTTGTAGAAGAGAAGGAGATCTCTGGATCTGGCAACTTGCAAAAGGTAGCCGAAAAGACATCTGCTGACAAGGAAATTGATGCAGCAAAACTGAAAGAAATGAAGAGAGAAGAGGAAATAGCAAAAGCAAAGCAAGCCATGGAAAGGAAGAAGAAGAAGGCTGAAGAAAAAGCAGCCAAAGCAGCTATAAGAGCTCAAAAGGAAGCTGAAAAGAAGCTCAAGGAAATTATTTCCTTCTTTCATCATGTTTTGCTTGTTGATAATTAGTTTGTGGATCCAAATTGATCTGATTTTGATTTTTTGACCCTTCAGGAGCAAGAGAAGAAAGCCAAGAAGAAGGCAGCAGCATCTTCAACCGGTGCAAATCATGAGGAACCGACTGAAGCTGTGGCCGAGGCCCCGGAACCTGAAAAAGAAGAAAATGCTGATGCTCCTGCTCCTGTTGCAGTGAAGGATAAAGTTCAAAAGGAGAACACTGTAAGGCACAGGAATCGAACTAAAAGTCGCGATTCACTTCCGAGACCCATCCTGAAACGTAAGAAGTCAACCAACTACTGGATGTGGGCCGCTCCAGCTGCAGTGGTGGTGTTGATACTTATAGCTTTGGGTTACTATTATCTTGCTTGAAGAAAGTTAAACTCGAACCGGAACTGAGTTATATAGATAAACTTCATCGGTTGATAGTGGTTAAAGTTAATTAATTTCGTTTGTCGCATCCCATTAGGGATGTGTGCTAAAACCCATAATATTGCTGCTGATAGTTCAGTCTTAATGCTTTTCTGAGACCGAAACCATGAACTTTTGGTTTTGTAGTATTTTTAAAATTTTGTTTTTCATCCGTTTGGCAAATTGCAACGAGATGTTAAAGTTACTCGGATTAAGGTGCGATGGAAATTCGGATTTGTTTTATACAAATTTGTTTATTTTTTAAAAATAACTTTATATGCTTGATGTTGTTTTTCATTTTAATTTCTGTAATGGACCAATGGTAATGGAGTAGTCTATAAAGGCATGTGCAAATCTTGCCGTATTACAGTAGAAAAGAGTTGCAAACCTTCCATCACACACACTTAAATTGTCACAAAATCAAAGATATATTGCATCCGAAAGGGATTTATTATCTGCATGAAATGTCAGTGTCGATTTCATTACAGAAGTACGGAGCTTCTATCAGATCTCCAGGAAAGAGTTGACAGTGTTGAATCCGTGGTTCTCCGGAAGAGGACCATTTCCTGGCCGGATGGAGATTATGACCTCCAAACCTACGATTCCGATAAAGATGAAAAATACTAATTAATAACCAAAGGGCATTTATTTTTGTAACACGAAATCAGAAGCTGGTCTAAAAGTCCAACCAGTTGGAACATGCTTCATTGACAATGTATGCAAAGGATGTGCAGAATACTTTAGAATCATTCGTAGGGAAATTCGTTACGCTTTTGGGTTGTGATTCTTATTACCTGCAGCTTTTGCAGCCGTGGCTTCTTGATACACATCGGTCAGAAATAATATATCGGATGGTTTATCGACTCCCAATGACTCGGTGATTTCGACATAACTTTGTGTTTCTCTTTTGTTTCTGCAAGCATGAAAAGGGGATACACAGTCACTTTTGAGTTGGAATTAAGTATAAAAGCAAACTGTGAAGGTAAGGTAATAAACTTACCCTACCGCAGTGTCAAAAAATCCGGACAAATACTTCCTCAAATCACCGTAGTTAGTATTTCCAAATATAAGCCTCTGAGCCAACCTGCTACCACTGGAATATATGTATACCTGTGGTGAATGAGGAAGCAAATATTAGCACTGGAACTCAGAACTTTCTGTAAATAATTGAGAACTTAGTAAGATCCTTTCTTAAGGGAGAGAGATGTTTAAAGGGTCAAGTACCCATTAAACCAAAATTCTGTTTTTCGTCGCAGACATACGTGTCTTCTCAGAAATACTAGAAAATTTCAGTGCTATGCTAAGGGATTATACAGCTTTACGATCACTCAGTAGGACATGAACATACAATAACCTGAACTTGGATCTAGACTAGGTCCAAGCAGATAACTATCTACTAAGATAATTAGCTTCAGTTTGGCGGAATGATTAAAACGACTTGTGAATATACTGCAATCTGGAGCAGCTGCATGGAAACATATCACAACATAGACACATTGTATCGAGAACCACATTCCAAAAATAAAGTTGTAGAATAGTAATTGAAATACGTAACAATACCTTTATACCCAAAGCGTGCCATTTTTCAAGAGCTTCTGGTACATCATCAAAAACAACTCCTTCCAGCTCGTTGTTCTCAAATCCAGTACGCCATATATGACCCTATTTAATTTCATATTAGTCCTCTCCTGCAGGTAAGCTAAGATACGAAAATGTCTTTTCTTCAAATTCATGTTTGCTTACTTGCAATTGCTTCAAGGCAGAAATTTTTCGATCAGCTTTTATCATTGCTTCGACATTACCAACTAAAGATGCAATCACCGCCTCTTTTCCCACCTCTTCCGAGGGGATAGGTACAGCACCAGTAACACCTTGCTTCAAGTCATCCTCAACCTGTGGAAAACATGTTACGGATGTGATATAGGCATATCGTTTAGGAGTCAATCCACACTTCTTTGGTTGCTAATTTATAAGGTAAACAATCACACTGCCTTAACCGCAGAAAATTAGCTGAAGAAGTATCCTTACATTCCTTTGGTTTTCCTATATGCATGCCAAAAAACACATTATTGAAGGTTTCTTTGGGTTTCCTACATGCATGTCAAGCAAAACAGATACTCCAAAAAATGATCGGGTTTGGCACACAAATCATTCATAATAGAAAACTAACAGATCATTAATGACAATGATAGGCAGTGATTCTATATATAAAACAAAAGTTCCAAGAATTGTAGAAACTAAAAGGGTTCTGAAGTCACAGATAATGGTGCATGATATTGCACAGATGACTAGTTCTTTGCATGTTATTGTTTAATGTATATAAATTGAACATAGGTCGGAAGCATATCATTTTAGGGAATGAGAAAGAGAGTTGATTGCATTAGACTTAAGTATCAAACCAAAAAGGCCGCCGATCCTCATCAGATCCCACTATCAATTTGAAGGAAGCGAAGCATACGATTTATGACCGGATGTCAGAGAAACATGATAAAAGTTAAAAAGGTTCAAAGAAAAACCTTACTTGAGAACGTAACAACTTAATATCATCTTGGGTTTCAGCACTATCATATGTTGCAGACAAATGCCTCCCGACATTGTCTCGGGCATAGGGAAAGAGAACATCCATTACAAATGAAATAGGAGTTGTAGTTCCTTCGATGTCAAGCACAATGCAGCGCTGCAACAGGGAAAAAATGTAGAGTGAGAGCATATTTTCGATAAATGAATACAACAATCTTCTTGTTTAGCAATAAAACAGACAAGAGTCTGTCCACCACAATGTCATCCGAACGCCAAATATTTTTGTTACAATGGGAACAGTGTCATGTCTAGGAAGCACAGAATGTCATATTGAAAGGAAAATATGTAAATTTCTTACTGGATATGGCTCAATTTTATAACTTGAATCCACCGTCCCGGCTTTAGTCACATTTATCCTGCTATTGACGCTTGAAAATCCTTTAACATTCTGAATGGGGCCATGATCTGGAGTAGACCAGTCTAAGCCTAGTTGATGGAGTTTAATAGCAGCATCAAAGAGATAATGGTGACATTCAGCCTGAAATAGTATGTCAATGCTGAAGTATCGATTTATAATAAAGTGTTTATACAAGTAAGAATCTGAAATTTATTCTATACATATGAATCATGATAAGTGAAAAATAGCAAACTTCAATTCACCAGTTTGAACCCAAGATTTGCACAATTTTACAAACCTGAGTTTTAGCACTGATCCATGAGTCTCCCCATATATATATGCCATGATTGCGAACAAGCACAACAGTTGTCTTGGGATATGCTTCAATCTGAAAATCATTAAAGTGAGTTTTGATATACTGAAGACAACATTTTACATTGATAAATTCACGCATAACAAATAAATCTAGCAAAAACAATATGAAATTCTGGTGAACTTCAATGCAGAGAGTGAAGAAAGGTCGTTGGTAGCAATGTGGTTTGAACTTGGGGTAAGTATTCGATACAAGCATGGGTCTGGCACGGATATGCTCAATATTTTTTCTACATATTTTAAGGATCATACACCCATACCCATCTCTGAATATGTCTTAGCAAGGATACATCAAGAAATTGAAGAGTCGAAGTAGCATAGGTGGGTAAAGTGTAACCAGAAAATAGACACATACTGCTCGTTGATATAGAACATTCATTAATCTTATTTGGCTACATGGAAATTTTATGATCACCATGAAAGTGAATTTCATAGTTCATTGACGAGATGAACACAAAAGAAACATACAGCTTTGACAAGAGAATCTGTGAGCTCGTTTTCGTAGAGTGTGTTCTCAATATGAGTGATCTGCAATTGTTCAAAAGGAAATAAGTAAATCAATTGCTGAAAGAGAAAGAGAAAGAACAAAGAGAATGCAGGGCGGTAAGGAATTAAAAGCAAGAGAAAGAGAGAGGAGCTCACTTTAGAAAAAATATTTTGGTCAAGAAAAACTTACACGAAACTCTTTCAAAAGCGGATTTATCATTGTTACAAGACAAGATTCAATTCCATGACTGTGGATAACAGAGCCAGCATCACGCATATGATATGCCTGAATTATAAAGGAAGTGATGCTTATCATCTCCAACACCACAAGCACACATTTTCTATTAAAATCACATTAGCTCAATGCATGCTAAAAAGGAATAAATCCTTAAAAGTAAAGCACACAACATCAAAAATAGGATCAATATCATCTTCGTAAATTCAAGATTGCAATTTTATAAAAGATACTGTGAAAGATAAACCATTGGATCAATTAAACAATGTCAAATAATAGTTTTGTAAAAAGCACATAAAATAGCTGCCTTCATGAAAAGAGGAGCACAGTCAGAGCACTTGGGAGGCTTATGAGGGTTTGGCTTCGGAGACGGTGAAGATATGATAGATCCCTCTCCTGATAATATGTACATATCATCTGGTTCCATTCTCTCCTTTTGAACACCTATACAGTACCGAATAACAAGCCCATAATTAAGCTATGCCAAAAACACTCTTTCAGTAATTGGCAAAGGAATATGATAAAGCCTATAAAACAACGAACTACTATCATTTCTTCATTATTACAGATTAAGGCCTTCTTCGAGTTTAATGCACAAATGAAAAGAATAACAGCAAACAATATTTTTCTATTTCTAGCCGTGGACAAACACACAGTTGAAGATGACTGACAATATATAGAATGTAATAAAAGAAAAGTTCAAAGTGAGTATTAGTATCCATAACTCTAGTAAAAAAGTGGACGTAAATAACACAAACAGACTCATATAGATGCCAAAACAACATCGGAATAAATTCTGAGCTAAAACAATAAAACCAAAAGATCCCAAATTAATCACAATAAAAGGCAGAAACAAAAAACTTGAAAACAACTTCAATAGAGAAAGAACCAGCAGCCATAATCAAGAAAAGCCAAAGCAAAAATGTTAAAACAAAATGCTTTGAGGCTTAATAATCAAATATCCAGAATCCAACAAAATGCTTTGAGCTTTAATTATCAAATATCCAGAATCCAAAAAAATAAAAATAAAAATAGACGAATGATTGAGAAATAAATACCAGAAGGGGACATGAGGATGAGTTGCTGAGGCTTGGGAATACAAGTATCATGGACTTTCATGGTGATACCGCCACCGGTTCCTGAGACCCATCCAAGGTTATAGAACTGGCGGCAAAGCTCAGATATCAAAGACCTCGTCTCCTTCACTGCTTTGCTTTCTATATAAGCTTGCGAAACACTTCCCATCTTCAACATGCCCCCGTTTACTGCAGCAGCTGTTGGTACAGCCATTTCAAAAAAACAAAAACAAAAAACAAAGGCTCTCCCTCTATATATTGCTTGAGCCTACAAAAGGAAAAAGGTTAAATTTTTAAATAAATAGGAGAGTTTTTCAATTTTGGGAACTTTTTAATATGAATGGCCTTCCTTACTTTATTATCTACAATCTCCGTTTAGTGTGGGACAAGACAAATTTCTGTTGCACATTTTTTATTGATTTGTTTAAGATAAGAATGAGTGTACCTGGATCTTACCTTGGAGTTAGGATTCAAGTTAAAATTTTGATATTTATAAGATCGACCCTATTATGAACAAACCTTGTGTTACATCTGCAAATGTAAATATATATATATTTAAGTAGAATATCAAATATACATAAATTAATTTATCTCAATTGTTGTTTTAAGAAATTAAGGTATTTGTACCAGCACCTATAGTAAAATGATTGAACTTGTTAAATGGTTGAGACTATTCAAAATAAATACTACTTTGTAATCACATTTTGTAATCACATTTTGTAATAACATTTTGTAATTAAATGATTATGTTTTAATTTTTAAAATAATTCACTCTTTTATACCCTAAAAAGAAAAAAATTGTTAAGATATTAATAGCAAAGAACAATGGGGTGGGCCTAAACCAATGTAGACTGAAATTGATCCAATATAACATGCATCATAAATGGTGGGTTCTAAGCCTACAACCCAAACCAAGTAACATTTATCCTTTTCAAATCTAAAACCCTAATCTTTGTTCCCCAAATGAATCAAAGACTAACTAACAAAAGCAAAAAACTTGGATACTAAAACCCTTTTTTCTGGTAGCCATGAACAGGGTTTTGTTGAGAGGCATTTCACTCACTACTCGCAATGTTCTTCAATCTTATACCAAAGCCAGCCAAAACCCAGTTCACTCATTCAACCCTCTCGTCGCTTCAACTCGGTCTCGATTCAGGTTCTTCTCGTCCGAATCGGATCCTCCTCCTGAAAAGAAGCCTGACTCTGTTCCTGAGTCTGCTTCAGTAGCTCAAGACGCGGTTCCTGAATCTTCTTCAGTAGTTCAAGCTTCGGGCGAGGATGTAGCTTTGGCTGTGGAGGATGTCAGTAATAAAGGTAAAAAAAATACTGGATTTGAGTTTCTATTCGGCAATTTGTTTATTGTGTCTTTGTTTAGAAGATGAGTAAAGTAAGTGAAATTGGGTAATCAGATTTTATTTTATTTTCGTTGGTTTGTTGATGTTAATGTTTCAAGTTTGTTTAAATGTCTTAAACTGGGTCTGATGATTTAATCTGTGCGTCTTCTTTGCTGGAATTTATTTCTTCTTTTTGGAAATTAATTGTTTGGTTGATGAGAAAAGCGAGGGAAACTAAATTATATATGTTCTGTTTGGATGATGAGAAAGGCAAGTGATAGTTTGTCTCTTAGTTTTGTTGTTTACTTCGTTAGTTCTTTGTTGCCAGAACTGAAAACCCGAATTGAGAAGTACTTCCAAGGGGATGAAGAGGCACTCCCTTCAATTCTCGAGGCCATTTTGCATAGAAAGTTGGCTGGGAAGCACGGAGAGACAGATGATGAGTTGATGGATGAAATGGCGCCACAGCCACGAGATGATGTGACTGATCAAGAGTTTGAGTCGGATTTTGAAAAATTGTACTCAACCGATGAAGAGATCGATAATTTGTACAGTGCAAGGGATATAGTCCAAAAAAGAATGGTCAAGGATGAGTACTTTAACATGGATGATCAGAAGTGGGATGAAATGATTAAGGAAGCCGTTGAGCATGGATATCTTAAAGACACAAAGGAGTGTGAGGAGATTCTCGAGGACATGCTTAGCTGGGACAAGCTCCTCCCAGGTTTTTACTGATATTAATATCATCATACTTTTTTCTCTATGTGAGGCTATTTGATTCCGCATTACTGAATCAATTTACTTTCTATGGTGTACTTGTAAATCTCTACCGAATCTAGCTTTTCATTGACAATACTGATACATTATAGATTATCAATCCATTTTCTGCTGAAATGCTCAATTGTAATATTCTCTGGACTTCTGTGTAGTTAAATAAGTAGGTAGATTTGTTAAATTTGCTTTGTGTTACAAAATTGAATCTAAAGACCCACTTCCTATTCTGGTCTCGAGGAATCCACCTAGACTTCTTCATTTCTCGAAAGCTGATTATTTTTGATTGCACCTAAATATCACTAAAATGCTGTTGCTAAGATTAAATAATTTGTTTCTTGAGTCCATGTAGTTTTTTCAAGTTCACTTTACTGTTACTTGGGTTGCTGCTTTCTAGTTCAACTTTTCTATGTAAGGAGATTCATAGCTCTATTAATAGCATTTGACATTTTCAATTACATTTCGTTTACCATTTTGGCCTCTAGACTAGAGACCTTCAGTTGAACTGTATATATTCTCTTAACTGTGAACTGCATGGAGCTTTGTACAATATGACAATATGTGAGGTTTCACTCAATTGGGTGATCTTTTGAAGTGACTTGTATCAAGGGATTACTAAAGCCGTGTTGATGATTCATGCCATCCCGGCTTGTTAAACTTCTGACTTGTTATTGTTCATGGTTTTATGTGAATGACAATTGTACTGCATTATGTTGGCTTGATCAGATGAAATGAAGAAAAAGGTAGAAGAGAAGTTTAATGAGCTAGGTTATATGTGTGAACGAGGCGAGCTCGAAGTCGAAGAAGCCTATGAGAAATTCAAGGAGTTCGAGGATCAGATGGTCATGGAATATGGAAAGATGATGGAAGCTGAGGGCCCACCAAAATTTGATGAGATGGCTGTACCAGACGAGAAAAAGAACTCCGATGACCCGCCTGGTGAAGGACCAATCCTTAGGTGGCAAACACGGGCAGTGTTTGCTCCTGGTGGTGATGCATGGCATCCCAAAAACAGAAAGGTAAAGATGTCTGTTACAGTGAAGGAGCTCGGGCTTTCAAAGCATCAATTCCGCAGGTTACGGGAGCTTGTGGGAAAGAGATACCATCCAGGCAAAGATGAACTTACAATTACTAGTGAGAGGTCAGCGTTAAGTTTTGGGTTCATAAACTTGTTCTTTGTTCTTCTGGGTATATTTATTCGTTGATTCTTTTTTCTTTTTTGAAGGTTTGAACACCGAGAAGAGAACCGGAAAGATTGCCTCAGAACGCTCTTTTCTCTCATCGAGGAAGCCGGAAGGGGTAACAAAATGGCAGAGGAAGCTCGTACTTCATACGTCAAGAACCGACTTCGAGCCAATCCGGCATTCATGGAGAGATTGCACGCGAAGACGATGAAATTGCAAGAATCTACGGCTCCCCATGCATGAGAGCTTGATCTGCAAACTATTTCAGACAATTCATATGCCATAACTCTTTTCACGGGAAGCTTCTTAGGATGTTTGTAGTTGAAGCAATGGTCATGCTTATGGAGGAACGCATTTCAATTTACCATAGAAAAAGGGTGAAATCAATGTGTTTTAGGGGTCTGTCTGTTAAACAAAATTTTGAAAATAAATTATATTTTTAGAATAACAGTTTTTTCGTTGTAAAAGAACTCAGATGGTCGTTGTTTCGGTATTTTTCTAGAATTTAATATAACAAAGTGTTGAACAATATTAACAGAATTGTAAATATTTTCTTGTTAAACAATTCATCATAATAAGTTTTCATTAATCCAATGCTGCACTTGGAAATCTTTTATCAAGTTTGTTTCACTAAAAGAGGTCCCATTATTTTATTGATTGAATAAAATTACTAACGTAGAAATAAAAATTATCACATCTATATTATTATTAATTTCTTAACCATGAATGATTTAAATAAAAATAAAATAGAAAATTAGATATAATTTAAAGAAAAATAATTAAGTAATCAAACAAAAAGGGGATAATAGGTGAGTAATTAAATAAATACTTTAGTCTAAAATAAAGGCAAAACTGAAGTGTTTGGTTACAGAGATTAAACTATCCTGCAGAAAAGCTTATCCTGACGTTAAAGAAAACCCGGGTGAAACATTATCGAATACCCCATTCAGTTCTCAGCTTCCCTTATTACCTCTCCTCGACAACCATGTCCAGAGGAACGGAGAAACTGATAAAGAGTGTGAAACAATTTGCAGATACCCAATACAAGTCCTTCACAACAAGATATGGGCAACAAGTTATTGACATTTTGGAGTTGCCAATTAAAGTAGTGCTCTCTCCTTTCACTCTTGCCTTTGACATTGCTGGCTCTGCTCCTCGTGGCTTTGGCATCCCTGAGTTCATCTCTAAGCTCTCCTATACTTCTGTCTTTGTAAGATTTCCTATGTCAAGTTTTAATCTTTTGCTTAATTGGGTTGTGGGTTTTTCATGTTCAAAATTTGATGGTATCTGTCATTGGCTCTTGGTATTGTAGCAGATACTGGATTCCTTTTCTAATTTGCTACTTTCTTTGTTGATTTATTATTGTTCAGTGACGTTCTATTGAAATTTGCATTTGTGTTGAAATTAGTGCTAAAAATTTCATTTTTTTAGTTATAGGTTTTGAGTGGAATTTATCACTTGAAGAATGGGTAACTGAGTTGTTTACCTGCTGGTTCATTTAGCTTCAATGTTTTCTACTTTTTATTAATCGAACTTTTATACGCCTTAAAAGTATTGTCAGTTTGTACATTTCCAAGATTAAGCATTTTAGAATTAAACTATAGTATCTATTTTCCGTATGTTTTTTACAAATGATAAATTCTGAAAGGAGATAGATAGAATGTGCTTATGTTCCATATTGATTGTTCTTTTATTATTTTCCCTTCTGAGGATTAGAGAAGGGTAGCTTGTTCCATTAATTTTAGTTCTTTTCATCATGGTTGATTGCAGGTTATTGCTGCTTTGGGAACCTATGATATTGCTTTAGAGCTGGGAAAGAAGGTGATATGTCAAAGGTGCAAATTCAATATCCCTTCAAAGTTATATAGTCGATTCTTGTCTTTGTTTGTTAGATCCTGGTTTTGTAGAACTCTTGGCATTATATGTGCCACTGTGTTTACACTCTGTGTGTCATATTCGTGAAAATAAAAAGAAAAAAGTAAATGTTTTTCTGTTAAAGATTTATTATCTTATGCGGAGAACAGGATTCTGATGTTTTTGTTAAAGCAAAGACTCATTCAACGTTTTGGCACATTTTTAATGGTGTCTGTTATTAAAAAAAACTATTGGTACATACATCAATTGTCATTTATCTCTTTTAAGATCTAACAGAAAAAGTAAGCCAATTTTTGTTTACAAGATGAGGTATCCATTATTTATTTCTTTACCTTTTTATAGCCCCAAGTTGAAATGTATCGTTTAAATAAAATGCCTTATTACATGAGGTGGATTTGTCAAGTTCAGGAACTGTGTTACCTGCAATGGATGGCAAGCTTTGCGATGCACTATGTGTAAAGGATCAGGGAAGGTGCACTATCAAGTGAAAAACTACTCCTTGAGAAGGTAGATTGACCTTGGGTCATTATTTTATGACTTTAAACAACTATACACTCTACTTATCTTCTTCCCCATTTCTTACATGGCCCAGACCAAACAAAAGAAAAAGGCTTGTTGTGCTTGGGTACAATAGTGACTCTTAAAGATATTCAGTCTGTAAAAGAATGAAGGCTCAGGCTTGTCTGGATGTGTTATGTGCGGCTAATATTTAGAGTCGGAATTGCTTTGTGATCTTAACCGACTTGATTAGGAATCCAATCTGAGTGATGATTGTTTTAATTTTAATTTTGAATGTCTGCTTTGAATCTCTTGCAGTGGGGAGAAAGCAACTGCAGAAAGCATTGCAGATGCTATTGTTGATAATCGAGCAGAGCTGGTGCAGCTTCCATCCGCTGTTGATCTCAATACACCGTTGCCATCTAAAGAATGCCCAACTTGTGATGGAACAGTGAGTCTTGACATTTCTTGGCGTACTGCATATAATTGTCCAATGTTTTACTGTTCAATTCTACCATCATCCTTTGTTAAAGAATTTCCTTAAACTAGAGAAATTTTCATTTTTGATCCTTGGGTGAAACATGTATTATTTCAGGGAGTAATGCACTGCCCTGAATGCAAGCACAAAATACAAATCAGGATCTCTGCAGATGATGTGAGTTCTCTTTAACTTGTTAGTGTCTGGGATCTTTGGTGTTTTACATTATGTTGTCATATCTTGGACGAAAATTCTTTTATAGACATGTTGCATAAAAATGTAATATCTTTATATTTATCGCTTCCTTGGACAAAAAACCAGGTTTGTTGAGGGCATGTCATGCCTAGATTACCTGTTATCTTTAACAGATTCGTGCCCCTTTTACATCTTATTCTTAGACTTAGTGTGGGAAGAAGGCCGTGATGCTGTAATGAACTTTGTGTTATGCTCTTATTATAGACAGTAGACTTTGCTCAAGAGATGTTATATAAGAGATAGGATGTTTTTTTAAAATGTTTTAAAGGTATAACAATTTATCAAAAAAAAATCAAATATATCAATGACACGAATGTCTGAATGAAGGGTGCAACTTAAACGTATATCAGAAATATTCTAAAAGATATTGCCAGCTTAGGGCTAAGGGATTTTATTTGTGGCTAGTGTAGAGTTAATGGTTTAAACCATGTAAATACTGTATTAAATTGATGGATGAAGAAACTGAGGAGGATTCAGAGGTTACATAGTAGACTGTCTGCTTTTGTTTCTTTCTTTTCCCGCATTCTACTTTGTGATTGATTGTATATCTTCAAAGCATATTTACTTGTGCTTCACTTCTGTTAGTGTCACTCTTTGTGCTTGTTTCATGCTAAAGATTCTCATCCTTAAATTTATATGCTTTCTGTAGATAATGGAACCCCCATGGAAAGCATATAACATCTTAAAGAAGATGGACTATCCATATGAGGCAAGTATCATAACTTATCACACTCCCTTTCTGTTCTTTTCAGTGGTAGAACTTGTAGAGGATATTTATGTATCGTTAAATGTCTGAATTACTAAGGAGAATGAAATGGATATATTAGATTTTGAATACACTGCAAAATAAAAACGAAACCTTCTTTCTGTTTTTCTGCTCATATTCCGTATCTTTGATCCATCAAAGGACTCAAGATCCGAGGATTAGTGTCCATAAATGATTTCTTGTTGTGTAGTTTACTTCTTTTTTCTCATTTTATTTGATATTTCGTGGTCAAATATACTGTTCCAGCACATAGTTCACAGCATGAAGGACCCCAGCATTGCGGCATTTTGGTTGCTTACCCTACCTCAGATTGTGGGTGGGTTTGACTATGATGATGATGTGAAGCAGAAAATATGGTGGCAATATAAGGTATATAGTTTATGATCTCACAACTCTTCAATTTATCTTATATAACATTTATGGAGTTAGTGAGCAATCGTAGATAACGAGCGAATAACATTTAGGAGATCAATTTAATAGTGAATTAAAATTTTGTTAGAAGTCAAATATATGTAATAAATGATAAATTAGAGTTTTAAGTACACATGCATCTCATTCCTCATCTGAAATTTATTGTCTTATTTACATGATATTTATTATTAGCTAATAAAAGAATTCTTGTTATTGCTTGGTGTTCTCTTGGATTAGGAATCTATGCGGTATGACCAACTTCGTGATGTGGTGGCCAAGCGAAATCCTGGCTGGGAGCACTTGCAGGAAGTAAGATATATTCCTGTATTACATTTCTTGTTTTCTGGAAAGTATTTTTGGGTGCGAAATATGTTCATTTTCCATGAAAGATGGGCTCATCTTTTCATTTAGGTTTCTAACCTTTTCACCACCATTTCCTGTGAAAGAAGTTCCAAGTTTTGGTGATCGAATCATGTTTTTTTATTTTTAGTTTTCCATTGCAAGAGACTTGAAACAGAATAGTATTAAATTATTCAATGACCTCAGACATTGTGGTTATCTAAAATAGAACTAACGATGTGGTGTTTTACGTGTTTAATTTTACTTAAAACCTAGTAGAATATTTTTTTTATCTCTCTCCACCAAGTTGATGTTCTATGTAATAAAGTATAATTTACTCATGTAAGTACATATGATACCTTTAGTCTGGTCTGGACTGCTAAGTGCTAACAGTGTGAATAAATTTTACTTATTACAGGCCTTGATTGCCATAGATCCTGTTCGTGCTAGGGAAGACCCTGTTGTAGTGAAAAATGTTCCTTATTACAAGGCCAAGAAGGCGTTGGAGACAGAAGTAATGAAACTTGATCCTCCTCCCCGACCACAGAATTGGGGTGTGAGTGTACTGTATTGTCATTTTTTGTAGTCCGTATATTTCATCCGTTGGAAAGAAATTATAACGTTAATAAAAGGACTAACTGCAGTGTGTTTGCAGAACCTGGATCTTCCTCTAAATGCTTCTTCATGGAGTGAAGACGACCTGAAAGATCCAGCAAAACTGTATGAAATGACTGTTCTTCTTAATGCTCAAAGAGAGATT